CTGCTTCTGTCCTGCTGTTCCTGTTGCTGCCATGCTCTAGCACCAGAGGCCCTGAAGCCTGGCCACACATGCTCCCCCTCTCTTTCTCCCCTATGTGCTACATAGTGCTCCTATCCTTAGGCTTGGGAAGAGTTTGGTGGTTGGTGGGAAAATGAAGCCATCTTTCACCTGGACCTAAGTTATAAGTTCCAACTTGGTTTGAAGCCAGAATTCTGTAGTACTGGGTACTGGGCACTGTGTCAGCAAAATAACAGTGTGCGTGGTACAGTAAGTCTGTGACTTATGAACGAGTTCCATTCCGGGAGAACGTTCGTAAGTCAGATTTGTTCATCAGTCTGACAAAGTGAGTCTTATACACCTTTGACACAAATATACAATGTAAAGCCAATGGTTGAATGATTCATGTTATAAGAATGAGTGACGTCTACCATCTTTTTGCCTCAGTCCAGTCTCTCAATTATTTTCACTTTTATTTCCATGGTTATTGCTTTGCACTTCCTAGCAGTCCCCTCCACATCATCACTGCTTTTCCTCTTGCTTCTGGACATCCTGGGCTCTGATTGAGCACTGTACTACTGTACACTATCGCACTGTACAGTAAGCACACAGCAGCACAACTGTGACAATGTCCGGCAGACACGTGAGCTATTTCTGTGATTTGTTCGCATCTACGAATGTTCGTAATGTGAGGTCTGTTCGTATCTGTGAAAGTTCACAACTCGAATATTTGTAAGTTGGGAATTACTGTATTTTGCTTCCCATTGTTTTAGTTTCTTGGGTCTGTTGCTTCCTCTAGGATCTCAACTTTCTCCCACAAAGTCTTAGAGAAATCTGTATATAAGAAATAAAAAGATTGAGTTTCTAACCCAAGACTGTACTAGAGATTCAAACCTCACCTTAACTTTAAATACCTTCCAGCCAGTTTTTGTGAAGATTTAAAGAGGCGATATATGCAAAAGCCCCTGGTATGGTCCATAATACATGCTTAACAAATTCTAGTATCTCTGTCTAGAATCTAGCCTGGAATACTAGTCTTCCTACTAAGGGCGGTCCATGTTAAAAAACCATCAGTATTGTCTGAGAGCTTATAGGAAAATCAGGACCTTGGGTTGTACCCTAAACTACCAAGCTGCATTTTCATAGGATTCTCAGGTAATTCCATGGTACATTACAATTGAGCTACATTGCTGTGGAGTATACGTGCCCCTCGTGCTGTTCTTCCAGCTCCAGCCTCCTGCTTGGCTCCCACAGCCATGCTGCCTAAAGCCTGGATTTTCTCTAGATCTGTGGAACATATTATTATAAATGGCATGCTTTCCAAGTTAACTCAGATACTTCTGTCAATGAAGTTTGCAGAGAAACTTGTAGTTGTAAAGTTATTTTCTCCAAAAGGAAATGTGAACTAGCATATGTGGAAGACACCAATAGAAAGGATGCACGGGCTGATACAGAAGTAGAGCTCATCTGAGTGTGGTGTGAGACAGGTGTGGAGACAAATCCCCGAGTGCAGAGAGGGCTTGCTTTTTTAATGAGCTAGCGGGTGATGGATGTCTCTCCAGAGGATCTTTTGCTTCCAAGAGAGGAAAAAAAGTATAATTGAACTTATAGATTGTTCTTTCTACTCTACAGAAATGTGTGTGTGAGCTCTGAAGGACAGAAGCTCTATTAAAGTTCCTAGTGAGCTGGGCTACACTCTCAGTGAGTACGGTTATGGATTTTTGATTTGTACCACCTTATTAATAGTCTTAGATTTGGATATTATTGAATCAATGTGGTTTATTTTAAAATTCTTGTCTCTTTTACTTGTACTTTATGTTGTTTAACTCTTTTCTGAAGAATGTTTTTTGTCCTTTTCTATTTTCTTTTTTTTTTCAGATTTTTCCTTTTCTTTGTATTAAGTTGTCATAATGGGTTATCCTATGACAATAATTAGGCCACATTTTTCTAAACGTTAAACATTATATGTATATCTTTTTCAAAAAATTAAACATTATAACATTACATAGAATGACTACTGAATAAAATGCAAATCTCATGTAAAATAGAGGCTTGAAAAGATTAGTAAATGCCAGAGGCTGGAGATAGGGGGCTGATTAGAAAGGGGGCATAAGAGAATCCTGGAGGGTGTGATAGAACTGTTCTATATCTTGATTACGGTGGTGGTCACCTGAATGCGTGCATTTGTCAAAGCTTATAGAACTGCACACTTTAAAGGAGTGAATTTTAAAGTATATAAATTATAACTCAATAATGAAGGCGAGGGGGGAGTTCCAATCTGAAAACAAAACAGTTACACTGAGTTCCATAGGAATGGGAGTGGTGGTGGGGTGGTGGTAGGGGGTATATGTTCTTACTTTTTAGAGGCAGCATGCTGTTTTGGGTAAGAATATAGCCTTTAGAGCCAGGGGGACTGAGTTCATCCTATAAGAATTCTCTGTTGCCTCAGCTTCCTAATCTGTCAATTGAGTGAATAGCAGCATCTGCCTCATGGGGCTATTATAAATGTTAAACAACAATGACAACAAAACAGAGGAATGGGCACTGAAAATTTAAGGCTTTGTAATGGGAGAAAGTCTCTGATGTTTTGGTTTCTTTCCCCTCACCTCACTCTTGGTGAGGTCATTCTTGTCTCTGCTGAAAAATAGTCTTCATCATGAACCCCCCACACGTAACTCTGCCCAGCCTGCCATATCAGACAGCCACTGCTGAGTAAACGCTCTGGAATAAACCTCAGAAATAAATCACCTCTCATGCCATGCTCCCTCCAGGTGAGGACTGAGGTCATTGCAAGAGGCATAACAAATAGTAGACATAATGTACTAAACTAATAGATTCTATAAGGAAACTAAATGGAAAATTTTTCTTGAGTGCTGGCACCTCTGGCTGAAGAGACAGTGGAGCCAGTGTTATTATAGATGTAGTTAAATCAATAATACTTTTTCATTCATTTCTCTTTCATTTCACAAAAATACCTATTTTAGCCAGCAAAAGAGGTAAAGAGATATTATCGAGGGTAATTTTTCATTCTCACATGGATTATATTCTGGGACATTGCTCTTCTAAATAGCCCCATTTCTGTTTTTTTTTTCTCTCTCTCTCTCTCAGAAATGTATTCAATTTTCTTCCAGCAGCGTGAATTCATCTGGAAAGCTATGACAATCAATTAAATAAATGGGAAAATAGAGTGCTTGTAATTATGATAATCAAGCTATATGAAACCCACCCTCTTAGGTCTAAAACCCACACATCTTTAAGCAATATATTAATTAAGCTTTGGGTAATTGTTACAATTAGAATCCAGCTTTTATAGTTTTTAAAAATCACTCTGAGAGGAAAGGAAATAGTTTAAAAATATACACAGCTGTTGGTTTTTAATGCAATTCATTATCATGACTACATTGTCATTTCCCTGGATGTACAGAGACAATTCCAGTGTGCTTTATTGATGTGACTTCGCATTTACAATGGGAAGAATTTTGTATGTAGCACCATTTTTGTTTTTGTTTTGTTTTGGTTTTTTAGCTGAGCCATCCTGCCACCTGTTGGCAGCTCAGCGGCAACTCAGCTCGGGCCGGGAATCAAACCAGCAACCCTGTTGCTCAGAGCTCACACTCTTGAGCGAGCTCTTAACCAACTGAGCCACTTGGCCAGCCTGTGTGTAGCACCGTTTGCAGACGTTTCCCTGTTTCTCTAAGTTAGACATTTGCAAACTTCTCCTGTAAAGCACCCGATAATAAATACTTTAAGCTTTGCAGATCAAGAGGCAAAATTGAAGATATATGAAAGTAGTTAAATAACAAATTCCCAGTTTCTGCATTGACAGCATTAAAACTATAATAAAATAAAAATCGAATACAATTTGTTTTTGCAATACACATCTACTAATGAGAAGGGTGAAATTCTTACTGTTGGGATACTGTTTTGCTTAGTTGGTATTCAATATTAGTGCCCCCTATCATCAAGTCATTGCAAATGTTCATCATGAAACCATTCTTAGCTCCTGGACAGCAGGCTAGATGTGGTTCACAGAGTATAGTTTGCTAACCCCTGCTCTTGATCAGTCTTCTCAACTGTAACGTGCATCAGAATCTCCTACAGGGCTTGTTAAAGCAGATTGCTGAGCTCCGCCTTCCCGCCCCCCTCCCCCATTTCCGTTAAGGCCCAGGAATTGTATTTCTAACAAATTCCCACTTAATGATGATGCTCCTGGTCTGAGATCATACCTTTAGAGCACTGCTCTTGATGTTAGTCCTTTAAAAAAGTCACATTGAATACAAATCTATATATTGGATGTTTTCATCATTTACTCACATATTTCAGCTTACCTGATGGACTTTACCTTTCTGAATGCCAAGGGGCAGGGTTAGTAAGTCAAAAGTTAAGTTTTTTATTAAAAAGTGAAGACTTATTTAGCTAGATCAGGATTGATAACAAAAAGAACTCTTGCCTCTTAAATAGCTATTCGTCGCTTGCTTACAAAGTCAGGCATCAGCAGTCAGCATTTACTTAAAACCTGTCTACCGTAAAGATAATGCCTGAGTAGCATTTTCCCAGTTCGATCCAACTTCTAAAATAGTATGCAATATTCCAAAGGATGTATGTGGGTGAAACATAAGAATGACAGTTTTGCTTCAGATTTAACCTGTCTTAATCAGCCAAGCACATTACCAATACAATGCTTTTTGGATAGAATTTGTTGGCATGTTCAACCATAGAATTTAACACAGAGGCTTTCCCGAGGCCGCCAAGGGTCAAGGGAGATACCAGATAACAGTAAATCCTGGAGTAGCCCATGGTCTGCTAGACCAAATCATCTCTAAGTTGACTGGTAAGTTGCACTGGGCTCTCCTGGACCAGCTCTGAATGGTTTGAACTATTACCTATATTGAGGCTTTGGAGAAGCTTGATGATAAATGAGAAGGCATTGCCTAATTGTAATGATCACATCTCATCAAAAAGATTCTTTCAGAAAAGAAGCAAAGTGGAAAATATGTTCTCCTTCTGTTTATTTGTCCCAATGGTTTAAAAAATCAGCGTTATGGAACCATAATGTTCCTCATGACAGATGGGCTTATACATTAGCATCGTGCTTTCAATCAACAGTTTACATTTCAAGAGGAAGGTGAAGAAACTGAATGTAAGGACATCTTCAGCATCTATTTGTCATTTTCAGTTTTATAACATTGATACAAAAAATAGTATTCTGATTAGCAGCTTGATTGGCAACCCATGTAACCCTAAATAGTACTACGAACCTGGAGAGTGCACTTTTACAGACAGTTACGTTTGGCGAAATAGTATGTACAATTTTGACAAATAAATACATAAATACAATCATTCATATATAACGATATACCTCAATGTCAATTATCATCAACAAGCATTTCTAGTAAATTACTTCTTTCATTCACAAGTTACTTTGTTGCTCATAAAAAGTATCTTCACCTTTACAGAAGAAATGACATAATCAATCCCCCACTAAACCCACATATTAGGAAAGGTAAAAAATGAATCCCAGATGCATTATGTAAATATTCCATTGTCTTTTGATAGAAGAGCTTTGATTGAAAGACTCCTTCTTTAGCTTCTCTGTAAAGAGTTTGTTTTCCCCATAGCATATCAAGTAAAGGGGTTTTGTTCTTCTGAATTTAATCCAAATAAAAAATGATCTTCATTTTTTGATTCTGGTTATTTAAAAATACATTATATATTAAAACTGGCATTTGTGCCAATATAAGAAGACACAAAGCCACACAAACTAGCCACCAAAGATAAAACTTTTTTTTTCAAAAATAAATTTTAAAAAGAAAATTTAAGTGTACAGATGCTGATTATTGATACCTTTTGCTATTCAATGCAAAATGAACAAAACAGGTGGAGGGACAGTCAGAAGGTTTTTTGTAAAAATTGTCTGAATGACTCCTAGTACAATACTGTCTGAAACATTATTTTATGCCAGAGAAATGATAATAAATTTTTTAAATGACATAACAAATAACTGAAACCATAATTGGCCAGTGTCATAAAATTAACAAAAGTAGAAAATTAGAGCTTTTTGATTACTTGACTTAAACATTTTGAACATTCAGAAAACGAAGGGCAAACATGCTTTAGGCTATTGAAACACTGGACAAATGACCTTGCCTCACCAAGCTCCATGCAGAAGAAAATGTATACAGCAAGCACATTCTAGCTATACGTACTGTTGGGGAGAAGAGGAAAAAAAGCCTTTAAAATATATACATATGGTCTCTGATGACTATTTACATGTTTGTCACATGGGCACTACCTAGCATAAAAAAGTTAGGAAATAGTTCTTTAAGACATATGATTCACTGATTTTTGCTCCTTTTAAAGATTAGGGCTCTATTCATAATGTACACACACATACACATACACACATACCAATTCATAGATGTACATATATGATGTTTCTAATGTGCAATTCCTTGACACCAAAGGTGGCTTGACTAAGCATAAGGTAAACGCAAGATGGTAGAATGGGACAGAGGCCTGACCTGGCCACACGATTGAAAGGCGAACCAAGTACAAAGTCATGAGACCTTTCCGGTGATGGGAACTCACAGTGGTTGAAGGTTGGAGGGTGGCTTACCTTATCCTGATCCATTCCTCCCCAGGCTACCTAATGCTGTTTTCTAATCGAACTCAGCAGTCCTGCTGACTGTAAGATGAAGATGTATTAAGGGACTGGGAGGCCTGTCTCATGATAGGTTCTTTTGGACTGGGGATAAGAAATCCAGTATTTTCAAGAAACAGACCATGACTTAAATTTATTCATTTTCTCTATTTGCTTGCTATCAACTTCTAGGAGGGGCTTCCAAAGGTCAGGTTAAAAAAAAAAAGGGATACACTTACAGTTGTGAGCCTTTGAATGAAAACAAACTGAAGTTTTCTATTGAATGGTAGAAGATGTACAACATGTAGGTTTGCTGAGTGCCTGCCTGTTCTCCTAATAGAAGTGGACTGCCTCTATGGTTCCTGAAAGCTCTTCCTGGGAATTCAGATCTAGTGCTTCCCGAGATCTAAGTTGATGTGATACATTTTGCAAAGCACATGCTTCGATTACTCTAATACGCCCTCAGCCAGAAGCTCCTCCCCGTGGCTGCCTTTGCTTTCAGCACCCTGGGAAATCAAGGTAATGCACTGAAATAATAACTTAGTCATTGAAACCAGAAGAAATGACAGAGAAATTGAAGCTTCCCCAAACACCTAACATTTCCAAGGAAAAATTAACGTCTTAGAAGAATCTGGTGCACTCATAGTTCATATTCGACCTTTATCTTGGCAGATTTTATTTTACATTAAGATGATATTACTACTACTGATGACCATCATTGTAATTATGTAATTATTTTACCAATAAGCATAATGCATGATACATTGCATTACATAGCACCGTATATGTACTAATACTTAGCAAATGCGATTTGCTCTCACAGTACCTGTGAAGTAGGTGTTTTTTATCCAGCCATTTTATAAATGAGCATATTGAAGCATAGCAAGGTTAAGATGCCTGCTCACATCACCCAACGAATATGACGGCATCAGTAGAACCTGAACCCAAGCTTCCCTCTCTTCTTTCCTATGAACCTCAATGGCAGAGCCTCCAGAACACCTTCTACCAGCATTGCTGCTAGAGGTACTTGGATGTTTTGGGTGTTAGAGAGTAATACAGCTATTAACTGCAGGGCTAAATCGTTCAGTAACATTGGCACCTGTTAAAAGATTTTCTCACATGCTTTGCAAATGTGTGGGAAGGGCATCCTATACTATTGCTATGCTTATGTTAATTATAATGCATACATAAATTTACATTTTCTCTGTGTGATTTATTGTTCTTTTGGCCTCCTACCAACTCATTTCTACATATGTGCCTGCCTGAGCCAGAAACTGTAAAATGTACTTGGCGACATGGTATGGAGGGTAGCAGGTGACATTTGGCAAAGTCTCCTTGGAGGCACCAGGTAATGTTTGTCGGATGAGCAAGCAGAATTGTCTTCCAAACATACAGAGTATTTGATTCTCAAGTTTAAGTTTTCATTTATTTGACTGCAGCCTCCCTGCAAGTATGAACTTCATTTCTTGTTGGAACCACAAGTGCTGTACACAGTATGTGGCAATATGTATAAAAATTCAATGTAACAGCACACACAATATTAATAATCACATCCAGTGCGTCTTCCTGCCTATGCATTATTTCTGAGTTGTTTCTTGAAGGAGTTACTTATTTAGTTTGGCAGAGATGATGTGAAGACATAACCATGAGTTTCAATGTCCCAGAACCAGATTTTTATCTCAGATGCACAGCATGTAAATCCTAGCACTTGTTAGGAAGTTGCTTTTTGAGATAAATGCCTTAGGACCTGAGAATAAAATCTGGCCCTTCTAACTTATGCATTATTTCTATGACCAGAGCCTAACATTTGTAAATTGGTAATACAAGAAAGGAACAATGACAGGAAGAAAAAGCTTTTTACAAAACCCCTTCACCAGTTTATTTCTCCTGGTGACACCTGTAAAATACCAACACCCTAGGCCCCATTTCTTAAAAAAGAAAAGAAACATATTTACATTGGTAAAAATCCTAACATCTGAGATGTTTCTTGCTTGACATGTCATTCCAGATTCTGTGCATTTCTTCTGGAGAGATCTGATGCACAGTGATAACGCGGCGATACCTACACAAACTGTAGGCCATTTTCCAGTGATTGAAGCCACTGTTCTGAAAAGGGTGTATGCCCAGCTTTCGAAGACACAGTCCCACATATACATCTTCAAGGTGAAGCAGCCTAGTGTGGAGTGAAGTCTTGTAAATGAGTTCGGCCACATCAGCTGAAAAGATATAACCAGTCCCAGAACAGAACGGTGGGTAGTTACTGTCAGGATACAAATCCCTGGGCATATACCACTTACTGCGGACGTCCCGGATTGGCCCTCCATTGATGACATAGCCCGTAAAATACCTTCTTCTTGGCTTGGTGGAGGGTTTCAGTAGTTTATAAATAAGATTGTCCATGTTTACAAAAATGTCACTGTCTGTTTTCATGACGTACTTGGCTTTTGAACAAAAAGTGGCCACCCACCTCATCCCCATTAATGTTTTGAGGGTAAGGTTATGGTAGGAATCAATGAAGTCCTCCACGATAATGTCGTGGAAGATTTGGCTCTCTTGCTCCACCATCTGATTGAGAACAGGATCGGCGTTCTTGCCCAGGAGGAAGAGGGTGGCTATCTTGATCCCTTTAAAGTTGTTCTCATCCCCCCATGTTTCTCGGATTGCCTGACGGGCATCAAATTCTTTGTGGGTGGTGCTGATGAGGATCACGAGGAAAGGAATGTTTTTCTCACATTTGTTGGGCTCGTTTATGAGAAATTCAAAAGAATGTGGGTTGATAGGTCGAGTTCTTATGTTGCCGAACGTGAAGTTCTTCCTGGCGACTGTTAGGTGGCTGAAGGGCTTGGAGCCAGTGTAGGAAGGAGTGGGACGAGTTATGCTCAAGTACCAGAGAGCGCTGGCCCAGCACACAACTGTCAGCACGTATAAACAGGAGACCTTCGAAGCCATGGTCTTGAGAGCACGTCTACTCCAAATACTGAAGAATATGCCTTCTTGGCATTAGTTTCTTTTCATCTTGCGAAGGCAGCATATTACTAATCTTCAAGTTCGACAGAGAAGCGTTGAGTGTGGGATTGTCCATGGGTCTTAGTGGCAGTCTGGTATCTCTGCATTCATTCTACTTTCTTCCAAACCTAATGGAAGTTTCCATGCCTCAAAAGTCTTCCTCTTAACCCTGCAAAATCAATAAAGTAAAGTTGTTCAGATATATGTAGTCATCTCACACGTTCAAATACACCAAAGGGTAGAAGAATTACCCGGGATGACTAAAATAATCATTCATTTCCACCAGTTCTGAAAACTTCCTGACACAACCATCCTCCCTGTTCTTCCCTTGATAGAAATAGTTTATGTATATTAATACCCAATTAACAAGCATATAGATTATAAACTCTAGATGAATAGGAAGGAAACGGAACATTAGTAACTAAAACAAGTTACCCCCTTTTCATAAGAGGACTTCTTTGCAGTTAAACACTTTGTGACACTAAAGTCTTCTTTCAAGCAGGAAGGCTCACATAGGGCCTCATATCCCTTTTCCATTTTCCCAAAACTGAGTTTTTGTTTGCTTGACTTTGATGAAGCAATAATCTCTTTGTTTTCTCTAGGCCTGTATTTGAAAACATCAATCACCAATGGAAAAATCTCTGCTAAAATTGTCTCCTTAGGTTCAGACTTAGAAGTAATTCCCAACTTTTCCTCACTTTTTTTTTTTTTTTTACTTTGGCTTTCACAAATGTTAGTTAGTTCATACTTCTCAGTTTTCTGAGGCTTCAGATGGAGACTATCCTTACTCCTCATGCATGAAGACCATTACACAAATGCCTTTTCAGACCACTGGCAGCATTCATTTTGGAGTTGATCTAAATGGTATCACTCTTTGTGGTCTTCAACAATTCACCCTTACGTTGAATGATGATGAAATTATGCTACCCCTTTTAATTCTTCTTACATAGTTATAATCGCCTACAAACATTGCAGGAATATAAGAGGCAATTGAGTTTGGGGGCCACAAATTCAATGAAGATGTGACAGGGCACTTTAATTGGTGTTCAAATAAAAAAGTTGTCTTTTGGAACTCAAATTCTTTCTAGAATTTCAGCTGCTAGCATGCCAGTTAAAAATATGTGCCGGGTTATAAAGCCCATTCATGTAAAAAATTGTCTCTTCCTTCCTAACTAGAACAAAATGTGGCAGTCCTGGAAACCAGAGATAGCAAATAATGGGTATCAACATCAACAAGGTCTGCTTCAAAGAAAACTATAATTACATGTACAGGCTGTGTTGAAAGAATTTAACTGGGATTATAGATTGAAAAATCATGCTTCCAAGCACAATAGTCATACTGAAATAAAAAGATATGATGGGCAACAGAGATAATACACTTCAACTTGTATAAGCCAAGAACTGACTGTGAAGATATGATCCATATGAGACGAACAATGACTCAGGGTGGCTACTGTTCTAACTAAATGGATATTAGAATGGTTTTAAGCAGCATGACTCTAGGCATAGTCAGGCCTTCATCCAACCCATAAGCAGTACTCTCCAAATATGGGCTCCAGTATCCCTGGCCTCCTGGAGAAAACATCTGCTCCAAGGTGTACCCAAGTTGATAAAAAGAAGGATATGATATGCAATAAGCTTTGAAACTTTAAACAGGAAGCAAAAGGAAGTGAGAGAAACTAGAGTTTAGAAAAGGACTTCTCACCTTGTGATATACAGACATCACCGCATTTGAGTTCCAAAGGAATGTGAGTGAGTCTCAGGGTGGTACTAGAAACCAAACTTTCTCCACCATTATCCTAGCCTACTTCGCTGATTCTTATTAGCCCATCTTTATCATCATATTGCCCTTGTTGCCTTTCATACTTTCCTACTAAATTGTGAACCACCTATTACTAAGCTTTTAAAAGGCGCAAGAACCTCACCTGGAAGAGGCTCGTGTCAAGTTCTCTATGGGAGCCATTAACCAGGCTATTAGAAGAGATTAATGGTGTGTGAAAAGCATTGGAAAAACAGATATAGAACCCATACTCCTCCTCAAGGAACTCAGTCTATGAGGAAAGACTTCAAGTAAATGATTAAAACAGTGGGTTAAAAGTTTCCATCATGAGGCTATTAGAGTACACAGGAGAGGTGGGGTGGTGGGCAGGACGTGCGAGAACCAGGTCCAGTACAGCTGCAGAGGGCACCATTCTCCCAGACTGCAGTGTGAATCCCATTCCTCTGTTACAACCTGGAGTCAAATGATGAGTTGGCCCTGGGGAGGATGCCATGGAAATTTCAGAAACGTTATCTAAGCTGCATGTTCAAGGACAACTAGGAATTATCTGGATGAGAGTTGGACGTTCTAGGCAAAGGGAATAGTATACGCAAAGGCGTAAATGAGAGGTCACGGTGTGTGCCAGGACTGTAAACAGTGGACTAAAGGAAGAGGACTAGGTTATGGGGGGTAGGGGTAAGGGGGGAGTGCTGAGGTTTGGGGGTGTTGAGATAAGCAAGGATCAGATAGTGAGTGGCACATAGAAACTGTTCTGAGCTGAGTGGCTGGTTAGCCATCTTTGCAATCTAAAAGGTATAATGGAGGTTTTTCCCTTCCCCAAATCCTGAACACTGATTTCAATAACAATTCATTCTTCCATATGACGGATTTCTTCCTCCCATAGTTCTATGACCCAGAAGAGTAAGTTACAATTTGTTTTATCCGATACCTTTCTGTGTGATTTTCTGTGGGGAGGGACTCCATAAACACAGGTACCAGGAAATTTAGAAAGAGCTAAAAGAGGGAGAAAAGGGAGAGAAATAGGTGAGATCATGCATAAGTTTATGTATTTATAAACTCTTTTCATTGAAGAATAAGCATTCTTCTCTAGACAGCTAACAAATACGATACTTCGTACCATCGTGATCGTAGGCCTCATTGTAAAATGCATATGTATACCAGGCACTGGGCTATTCAATATATACTGTATTCTATGGCATGTATTCTATAGAGCTTCGTTCCCTACAGGGTTACAAGAGAGGCATTTTCTCCATTTTACAGAAGACAGAATGTAAGCTCAGAGATATTAAGTGGCTTGCTCAAGATCACACAGCTAGTGAGTGAGTTGTTACCAGTCATTTCAAGGTTCCTAAGGCCTGTTAGGGCAATAGGTAAAATCTTGGATGGGAAAGCCCAGGGTAGCAGGGAGTATCTCAGGCTGCTAGTCTCCCAGGGATCCATCTGTTCATTTTCTTAGCTGCATGGTCATTGCTTGGACTTTTCCTAATTCATTTTGGTTTGCCACATACCACACTACAGCAATTCCTTAAGGATTCTTAATCATGAGAAAAATGACGACTCGCAAAGAGCACTTTAAAGCTTAAAGATACTAAGGGTGGGGTGGGGGAGCTACAACTGTTGAAGAGATTCAGGAACACGTTGCAGTTCTTTTTCTCTGAACTCCTGAAATACATACGCGCACGTATACACACATGGACTCACGCTTCCTATTGCCTTTGTTCCTCAAACACAAGAACAAAAGTAGGCACAGTATTATGTCTTGGTCAGTAGTAAATGCAAGTTATCACCTATAAAAACAATGGACTTGAAATGGAACAAGGAACCAGCCTAGAAACTGAAAAGCGGCCAAGGATAATGATAAAAGGGTGCTAAAAATGTTCTTTTCGCTTACAACAAAACCGATTTTTCAGGTGGCCAAAGAAGTACAAAAATATGCCTCTTGACCAGAACTAGCAAAGAGACACGAGAGTAGCATGGTGCATTTAACTCTAATGAGTAACGTCACACATGTTGTAATGGGCCACATGTCTGAGTTTTACTCCTTGAGTCATCTCTAGGCTTTCTGCATGTCAGTAGCCATAAGTATAAAATAAGGGCAAAAATAACAACTGATTTATCTCCAAATACATTATAGGTACTAATGACCGTCACCCGTCGTTGAGTTTCTGGGGAAAGGGTGCTATACAGGCAGATCGTATTATGATACAAAGAGCAGGGTCCAGTGGGGAGGAGGGCATTATGTCAGGTCGTCAGCCATGCTTTGCGATCCAGAGTACATATATCGATCGATTCTTCTAAATACATAGGATTGGTATCAGTTTGGGGGTTTCTCTGCCTAAGGTTAGTGGTTATGCTGTACAGATCTTCCTGCTAGAGAATTCTGTTTTCTTTCTGGGAAACTCAAAGCCAAAGGTCCACTGGAAAGCAAAAAAAATAAGTCAACTGAAAAATTCTGGGGTAGGAGCTATGTGTCAAAAGGGACAATCCTCTGGAGGGTCCTTTCAGTTATACAAGGTTTCGTTTTTGTTTTAAATCTTGTTTAACTGACATGTTAATATGTCCGTAAAATAAGTTGCACACACAATATCTGTCATCCCTTTTAGCAGCCCTTCCACAACCACAGACACTGATGACACATTAACTTGTCATCCATTAAATATAAATCCCTCCAAATAGAAACAGTCACTAGAACATTTGAAAGATTTCCCGCCCCCAGGGACCTTACTGTATCTCAGATTACCTCATTGGCAGAACTCTCCAGTAACTACCCACCTTCACAGAATTTTCAACTGAAGAAGCACATGTTCTTCCTAGAAATCGCACAGTGGAGAGTTTGTTATTTTGAGTAATTTATTTTTTAAAAAGTCCCTTACATTTGCCGAAGTTCCTATGCTGTATGGCCAGAGGTAAGCCCTCGGAGCAGGTGGGTAGTGTCTCTTGGGTGGCCTGGGCATAGTTTGGAGTGCGAAGTTCATGTCTTTCCCCGTCAGAATCGAGGCAGGTAAAAGTCAACAATGATTTCCGGTGCCTCGGTTGCCACTTAGTTAGCTGAGCAACGACTCCATCTTCCCTACACCCATGGGCAAGGCTGCAGGGCCCCACCAAAAGGCCTGCTTGCACTCTCTGGTGTCTTAAGGAATATAACCTGCAGGTTCTGACTTCTGCTGGATTTTCAAATCTACTTCATCTTTCTTCATAAGAGATGTATTGAACACCTGTTAGAGATGCCAGGCACTGTTCTACAAGCTGTAAGACAGATGGGGAGCTGATTTTCCAGGAGAGGGAGGCAAAAAATAAAACACATGATAAATGAATGCAAAAATAATTTCAGGTAGCCATAAGTGCTGTGATGTAAATAAAGTGGGGTAATGGGATAGAGACTGAACAGAGGGGGCAGCGGGGGCTACTGTAGATAAATTGGTCTCTCTTTGAGGAAGTGACATTTGAGATAACAGGGTGCCTTGCAAACTCTGGTTCAGTATTTAAATCTTTAACTAAGGTTTTGTTTCTTTGCTTGGTTCTTTGGAATTAATGCTTTATTAGGAACATCTTTTTGATTTTACCCCCCCCCCTTTCTATCTGTGGCCATTCCACCCATTCATCTGCAAATGCCCTTAGTTTCTTGAAATGTAGGTTATGTGACTGACATTCGTTTTCTAGGACTGCCATAACAAAGTACCACAAACAATATTGTAGGTAGCTTAAACAACACAGATGTGTTGTCCAACAGTTCTGAAGGGTAGAAGTCAAAAATGATTTTGGTAGGGTTGGTTTCTTCTGAGGGCTCTGAGGGAGAATTTGTTCGGTGGTTCTCCCATAGCTTCTGGTGGTTTGCTGGTAATCTTTGGCACCTCTGGCTTATAGATGCATCACCCAGATCTCTGGATTCATCCTTGCTTGGCATTGTTCCCATTTGTCTTTGTGTTGGTATTTCCCCTTTTAATTAGGATACCTAATTAAATAGGTCATATTATGTTAGGGCCTACCCCAATGACCTCATTTTATTTAGTTACTTCTTCCAGGGCCTTATTTCCAAATAAGGCCACATAATGAATTACTGGCATTTAGGACTTCAATATGTGTTTTTTTGGAGGGTGCAGTTCTACCCATAACACTGACTTTCCTGGGTAGCAACAAAATGAAATATGTTGCGCTGACTTCACTGCTGTACATTTTATTTTCTAGATTTGAGCAAGTAAATTCTGGGTTTTGGTAAACCAGCTTTTAAAGGGTGAAACATTTGTAATTAGCATTCAGAGAAGAATGAAACATGAGTGTGAAAAGGGACACAAAGTTTGGTTTATTTTTAGATTTAAAAAAAGCTAGAACAGATTATTTCTTTTAAGACCATGTGAAGAATATGGGAGTTTTAAGCAGTCCTTCACTCCTGCCACTTTCTCTTTCCTCTTAAAAACACTAATTAGTTGAGAAAGATAAGCCAGGACTGTGACACATTTTCCAAAAGGTTGGGGCCAACAGTTCGTGAGATACCAACTAGTGTCAGGAATAAAAACAATGCTCCAGTCTCCCCCCACTTCCCTGCCCCCCTATCCCTGTGGGAAACACTATCTGCATTTCTATTATTTAGAGCCAACTTTGAATATTCAGAGACCACATGGCATTACAAAAGTGGATTTAACATTAAAATCCACATAGTAACTTTAAAAACATGGTGCAGAAAGATAGGCCAGTTAAAACAAGAAGAAAGAAAAACAGAAATTCAGAAAGAGAGAGAGAGAGAGAGAGAGAGAGAGAGAGAGAGAGAGAGAGAAGGGCTAACTCTAATGGCTATGAAATGCTCTTGAAATAGATGAGAAGCTGGCTGTGTAGTACATCATGATATTAAGTAGGGCAAATGAGATTCTTTTTGAAAAATGTTTTGATCTTAAATGACTTTCCTCAGAGCTGGTATATGAGTGAAGTAAAAGAAAAAAAATATATTTCTATGGGGAAACACAGGAACTCAGACAGCAATAGAACTAATTGATAAATGAGCCCCAAAGGCCAGAAATTCTACTTGGCTGCATTAATTTGGCCAATGATTATCTTGATGCCCGACTCCCTCCCTTCCTCTTGCTCTCGTAATGATGCTCTAAATAAGCACAGGAGAGGAAGAAATAAAGCACTATTAGCACTAGATAATGGTCCTTGAAGGGAGAATTTCATAAACCGTCGTGTTACACAGCTTGCTAACTTATTATCTCTCCAAATCACAGAGGGCTGGCTTTCTCGCGGAGCCTTTCTTTGAAGTAAGCCTTCTTGGCTGTGGGAGGCATCATCCCTATAGAAGTCAAAATCCCTGAATGCGCACAGAAGTAAGTGTTCTGACTCCTCTCCCTCAGAAAGACAAGAGCTAATTTGTTCCTTTAAAAATTTAATTATGAATCTTTTTAAAGAGACCCCATAATTGAACTCACTCAGCAGAACATTTGCAAAGAGGAAGCGGTGGAAAGCAAAAGGTGATATTCATCATGGTTTGGCAGTTGAAATGATTTCTCTCCTAAATCTGGAAGAAATTATTTGAACCTTTCTTCTTTCAGTTCAATATACCTTGAAATGTATTGAAAAGGTCTTTATAAATCCCTGTGTTCAGAAGAATGGGGCCAGCTTGTAAGAGGAGTGGTCGGGTGTGGATGTCTTTGTGTGGGCTTAGGGCACGTGCTATTCTGAAAGCTACACTCTGTTTCACTGCAGAAAAAGTGCACTTCAAATTAGAAGGGAAGATTATAGCTTTCTTCAAATCAATGTGTTGCCCTAGTTCTAGAATTCAGAGAATTTTTAAACATCGCTACAATCCTCTCAGGGAAATATGAAAATGAGGATATCTCATTATTTTAAATAAATGCTCAGTTTCCTCTGTAGTGATGGATATTGTGTCTTGGCTGCCTTATATGAGACACATTTTAAAAGATGGGCAGAGCAATCGCTTATTTAATCATAGGAGCTTGGCAATGTGGTTGGGTAGGGTTTCTCCCCTGGGAAAGGAAATGCCAGGATTTTTTATTACAGATGTGGAAAAGGATGAGAAGAAAGGCATTCTTCTAATATAATCAGCAGCTGGGAGAATTTAAAAACGATGAGCTGTGTAATACCAAAAACGGTATTCATTTGGCCCATTATTGGGGGGGGGTGTTAAGGGGGAATTGATATAAATAGATATTTTCAGAAACCAGGAAGATGTTAGTGTATTTGCTATCTAAAATGTACAAAATCTAAGGTGTTATTTCTTAGACGTCTCATCACAGAGAGGTGTTATTATTTTAGGTCATGTTTAAAAGAATGATATTAGTATCATACCGCAACTGATAACACATGGAAGAGAATTTACAATTTTCATTTTCCTATTTTGTCTTTTCTAACTCAAATGCTGCTTTATACAATATCAATTTACTGGAATACATAATAGCCCAAAACAATTTTATGTAGATGCCGCCAATGGGAATTATTTTGTAGGCAGTCAATCTTATGGCCCTGGGAGACCCAAACTGAACTTCTAGATTTTTAGTAATTGGTTCTGAACTCAATGCGTCTCTGCATTGTTTCCTCATCTATAAAATGAGTATGATAAAATCTGGCCATACTTTGCAGGGTCATTGTAAGGATCAAATGAGATACTGTATTTGAAAATACTTTGTGAACTGAATACTGCTACATGAATGACAAGTGTTATCATTATTAATATAAACACGATAAATAAAGACAAATCCAAAGATATAAAATTTTTCATGAGCAATGGTCAGTTAATGCATCCTGACAATTTACTTCAAAAACAGTTTTTCACTTGGCAGTTTCAAAAGAAAAAAAAGGTTGGCATTTCCAGTTGACTATTTTCTTAAGAAGTTTCAATTTCATTTCATAATGCCTATATAAAAAGGTCATTTTTTTTAAGATTTCATTGAGGAATTAGGGGAGGGGATCAGCATTGGGGAAGAGGAACAGACAAGTTGCTGCCCTTTTGTTCTTCAGTCTAGTTGTGGAGGACATTGCTTCACTGGCCCATGTTGGTATTATCATTGTGCATTTCCTGGGTGAGGCAGATTGTTCGCTGGTCCCTGGAAGCCGCTCATGGTGGCTCTTGGCAGCTCATGCCGACTACCGGCTGCCAGTTGCCAGCTGCTCACGCTGGCTGCTGGCCACTCATGGTATCTTATGGCAGCCCACTGCAGCCCCGCTGTAGCCTATGCTGTCGCCAGCGACAAACGGCAGCCCAGCTCCAGGTCAAGCTGTTGTTCACTATCTTAGCTGTAGAGGGCGCAGCATCACTAGCCCTCATGTGGGATCTGAACCAGATCCCTGTTGCTCAGAGCTGGCGTCCCAAGACAACGCTTAACCAACAGTGCAACTCGGCTGGCCCTGTAAAAAGGTCTTTCACTTCAGTTAAAAAAAAGGAGTACATGGGTGGTAGATGAGGGTAAAAGGGATCAAATATATAGTGATGGAAGGAGAACTGACTCTGGGTGGTGAACACATAATGTGATATATAGATGATGTATTACAGACTTGTACACTTGAAACCTATATAACTTTACTAACCATTGTCACCCCAACAAACTTTAATTAAAAAAAAAGAGGTGCACAAGTTACAGGAAATGCTATTGTGATTATTATTAGTAGTAATAATGTGATGTAGAATCAGAATTTAAAAATTTAAAGATTTAAATAGCCCTCTGAGTAGCATTTACACAGGCATAATTAACATTCTATGTATGCTAAGATCGCCTGAAATGGCTATACCATGGTTGTTTTACAGAGGTGTAAGACAAAGACAATACAAGATTCATCATTTTTTTCTTATCGGGGTTGTAATAGAACCTATCCAAAATATATTACAATGTATATCATCATGCCATCACTTAACTAATAAGGGACTCATCAATGTTTACCATTAAAATCAACTTTACGAATTGTTCTAGAAATGCACACAAAGGAAAGCCTGGGTGACAATGACAGTTTTGTTTGGCAGAGTAGCTTGCTTTATGTATGTATGTATGTATGTATTTTATTAGTTTCAGGTGTACAAAACAATGTAATAGACATTTACACCGCTCACAAAGTGATAACCCTTCCCCAGTCTACTACCCCTCTGACATCGTTTATAGTTGTCACAATACCAT